ATCGTTACTAATCTAGCACAACTTGCAAAGTATACAGCATGAGCAGATGTCATATACATATATCGATTTCCGTATGGCATTTCAAAAGATTAGTGACGCTTAATTTCAAAAACTTTCTTGAGTGGCAGGACACAATATGCGGGCATAAATACTCGACAATACTAGTGGTGCCACATTATTATAATTTAGGACAATTCTTGTGTCTAATTTTTATCGATGATGTTATTTCAGTCCTCAGCAATACTCAGCCCTGACTGCGGTGGACACACTGCTTGTGTAAGGTTCTGAGGTTCGAAATGATGAAATTATATGTTTTCAATATCGTATATCAAAAGTAATTCTCGATCATCTTGCAGAAGCTAAAGATCTGAGAGTGCACCATGATCAAAAACTCACTTTAGTTATATCATTGTATCTGAATCAAATCGCAGTTACTCTTGCTTTATAAACCCTTTACTTTAGTATTGTTCGATTTAAACTTGTATGGAATCCGATCTACAATTGTCATAGTCAAAGTAAAATACACCTCTTTTACTTCCAGGGCCATTTCCTGATACTTATCATTTGTCGCTCTGTGATGTAAAAGATATTCGTGTATTTCATCTCTGTGTTCAATTCAACTATGTCGGGTCTATTCTGGTGAGTTTCTCTATCCGTTACCATTTCCCTATTCCAATAGAATAGATTTTTATATTTTCGGTCACCATTATACTTTCAGGTAAATATTTATAAAACGGTGTTATTTTATTAATCAGATTATATTTTTTGCAGATTCCTCCGTGTAGTCCCTTGGAGCGAGGTTTGGTTATCCAGACGATGGATGCTGAATAGATTCCAATGTTGTTCCTCAGATCCTACACAGGTCATCGAGTAGGTCCTTTTTCTGGATATACTTTATGTAATTTTTTGTCACCATCACCTGAATCTGAATTGCTTGAATAAATCCCTCCGCTTCAGATCTCATACTCTCCACGGTAAGACATAGAGTGGACAACCTCACCGCCATGGAAAGCCGCTGCGTATTTTCCGTGCAGTTGTTTTCTTCTTCACTTCTCTTCTAGTATTTGAATGTTATTTTTTATTTCAGGAATAGTTGCAAAAGTCTGGTTCAGTGGAGACTAGTTCCTGTCAGCTGCCACTACAATTTCCTTATTTGAACCGCATGTTTCATTTCTTATTATTATTATTATTATTATTATTAGTAGTAGTAGTAGTAGTAGTAGTATTATTATTGTTATTATTATTATTATTATTATTCATCTTACATTTCTCTGCTATGTAGGTATTGGCGATGTGATATTGATAGACAGGAGCTTCCTCCTATTCCACACCGAAGCACAAAAATTTCGAACAATGTGGCATGTCTGGAGTATTACAGCTTTTCAGTCAGGTCTTCATATTTTCGAACTTTCTCAGCTTCCGTAGATCTCAAATTGTGAATCAGCTTAATGGGAATATCAATAATTGTCCCTTTTTTTTCTGTTTATTAATAAGGAGAATATCTGGTCTGTTTTGAGCGACAGTTGTATCTGTTATATCTGTATAGCAGATGTGACCTATTTTCGAGAATTAATTCCTATTTCAGTTGATTGTGCCTTCCTAAATAAGCATTACCTACTAGTGCGCTACACCCACCCATGATTGATTCTTGATGATTGATTGATTCTCCAATATTGCTACATTTCATACATTTATCAATGGAGTTGATTTTCAATATTATTATTATTATTATTATTATGAATATTATTATTATTATTATTATTATTATTATCATATCTAGCCAGAGTCAGATTATCAATAAATTAAGCATTTATACGAGGGGCAGACGAAAAATAAATATACACTACCTGAAAAAAACTTCTGCGCGTTTGTTCCTGCAAATTCGACGATTGACGCGCGAAACGCGCAGATGTCGCTGCGAAGCGTTAAATCGTCGACAACGAGCGCGATAACCGTTCGAAATTCCGCCGGTATTGATTTAAAAGTGTCCCGGTCCCTTTTTCCATTCGTCTGCATTCCCTCTTTTTAGTGACGTGTCTCCCCAAGGAACACCCTGATTGCACCTGTCCATATATCTCCCCATTTATTGTGCGGCGCCGTCCGGGAGGGGCGGGGGGAGGCGAATCGGACGGACGGACCCCTGTTGCCCTTTTCGCTGAAACGACAGAAGCGACCCCCCGCCGCACCCCCGCCCCTGACGAAACTCGTAAAGAGAAATCGACGTCGAGGACGCCTGATAATGTCACTTTACCTTTAGATTTATGCGGGAACCCTTTTCCGGGAAGTCACGGGGACTTCTTCACCCCGGAATTGGCCGTTTTAACGTTTATATTATTAGTAAATACGGGACGTTGCACAACTTCGCCCCCGAAAAGAATACAAAAACTTTTATATTTTTTATTTTCCTTATGTCATTACCGATCAATAGACAATTATTGAATACTGCTCCCGGTTTGTGTGAAATTTGCTTGAAATAATTTATTTTATTATAATTTCATTATGATACTTATAATAATATTATAAAAAAAATCAAAATTGAAACCCGGTATTATATCATGAAAGTAAAGTTTGTTGTTACGTTACCGTAGCTGAAAACTCAACAAAAATAAAAGTAAACGGAAATTCCAAAAAACAGAAATCATGATCTTGTGCAGTCCGTAAAAAACAAGAACGAGCTTTTTAAAAATTTCCTGCCAAATCCCATACAAAGCACACTATTCGAGGTACAGGATTCACTTAAACCAGCTTATACAGACAACAAAAAATAACAGAAACTGTAAAGCACTCTGGGATAGAGCAAAAACTTGAGAAAATCTTCAAATAAATTTTTGCAATGTATTATTTTATTATAATACTTATAATAGTTATTATTGAACACTCAATGACTTATATAATAAAAACCCTGTAAAAAACAAAAACGAGCTTTGCAAAAATTTATACAAAGAATATTGGAGATATAGGAATAGCCTAAACTGACTTATACAGACAACAAAAAGCAATTATTATCAACAAAAAATAACAAAATGGGAGAAACTCTAAAGCACTCTGGGCTACAGTAAAAAGTTGAAAAAAACTTGCAAAAAATATTAGAAATCCACAAAAGCATAAATTTGATAGACTGAAAACAACAAAATAATTCCGGTTCTGATAACATCAGCACGGAATCATTTTGATGGATTTCGCTAGAAATTAGTACATTAGTACTCTCAACTTTTTAGCTTGAAAACAGTTTTCTTGCAAACCATTATTATAGAGATTAATTTCCGCCCATGAAGCTAAATATGTTAAAAACGCTCTTTCAATAGCTTCAACGTTATTTGGGAGGCATGATATGGAAACTCCCAGGGATACTAAGTTCCCAAGCATGCCATAGTTAGTTGATAATCAAAGAGGACTGCTAAATCTTTAGTGCATATTACATCCTCAACTTAAGAAGTGTTATTACGATAATAGTGCAGTGACTGGGATAGTGAACCTAAAAATAGTATTTGGAAGTTCAAATTTAAGGCCATTTATTTCTAGAAATCCCTTAAAATTCCTATGCAATTTCTTATAATTGCTCAGGAATATTTCGGAATTCTTGAGTGATTATTTGGAACCCTCCGGAATTCTATCAAGGTGTATTGTAAAGAAGCCAGTCCCAGTGACGGGTATATTTTTTTTAATTTGTGTCAAAAAATTTCCAGGCCTGAATATGAAAGAAACAAAGTAGAGTAACAATTATTTTTCAATATAATCTCCCTTAACTTCAATACACTTATTACATCTCTGTATTAACAACTCAATCCCTTTAAAAAATATTCTTTTGGTTTGTCTGCAAAATGAGCTAAAACAGCCTCTTTTAACTCAACTTCGCCGTTAAACCGAAGTCCACGTAAGTCCTTTTTCAAATATCCAAACAAATAATAGTCGCTAGGGGCCATATCTGGACTATAGACAAAAAAAATGGCAGCTTGTGCAACACCAGCAGTATGGACAGGTGCATTATCGTGCAAAAGACGTCTCTGGTCAGTTTTCCTCGACGTTTTACAAGAATGCAGTCTCGCAATTTCTGTAATAATGTTGCGTAATATTTACCATTGGCAGTGGTATTAGTTTCTTTAAAATCTATCAAAAGAATTCCTTCACAATCCCAAAAGATCGTGGCCATCACCTTTTTTGTTGACTGGCAGACTCTGAATTTTCTTGGAGGTGCTTCACCCTTACGACGCCACTCCATTGATTGTTTTTTCGATAGAGGGTCATAATAGAGAACCATAATTTCATCTCCCATCACAATAGTTTCTATCAAAGGCTTCCGTTCCGACCTACAGAGTTTCAAAACTGACCGCGCACACTCGACACGGCGTTGTTTTTGAATAACCGAAAGGTTTTTAGGAACCCATCTTTCACTAGCCTTATGCATATCTAAATGATCATGCAGGATTCGACAAACACTTGCATCAGAAAGCTTAGTAATTTCTGAGATTTCCTTGACCTTCAAACGTCGATCAGTCAATACCACCACATCCACAATCGCAACAATATCTTCCGTTATGACTTGCACTGGTCGGCCAGTTCTTTCACTACAGAATACGAAGGAGAACTTTGGCCGTACACACCAGCTAACACTTCTTTTGTCAAAAACTTTATGACTGCTCTATACTCAATTTGCGTTATTTGCGACATTTTTCAGACACGTCTCGTTTAAAATGCTGTCAATAAAAAACTATTTGACGCAATACTTAAATTTTTGTTTCGAAGCCTACTAAGATGTATATTTAAAAGAAGACAAAGTTTTATCGTGACACTGGAGCTGCATCTATGTCAGGCCGGGAAATTGTGGCGCTAACCTCGTAAGTCAGCAGGTGTTCGATGAAAGGTCATTGAATAATAATATTGGTAATTTGATCAGAAATTGGTTACTCTATCACCTATTCGAGCTTGGACCACCACTAGTGCGACGCACTGTTATATTTTTTAAATCGTATTGCGCGCGCTTATCAAAACTCGTCACTCACCTGACATAAAGCGACACGCGATCGCACAATGTCCGCACGCTCCGCTAGAGGTCTCCGCCGTGCGTCGGCGGTCCGGGACGCATTGTTCGGGATGTATTTTCACGTTCGATTTAATTTGTTTACCTGCGAACAGAAATCTGGCGTTTATAATCCGGCCGCGTCAAAAGTACACATCGGGGAGGTGGCTAAATGTAAATCGCATAGGGGTGGTACAATAAAAACCCGGCGAAAAAAAAATGCATTTATATTCCGACCAGAAATATAGCGCTTTTAGAACCGACCCCGTGATTAACTTTGCCTACTGTTTATTACCCCAAAACCTCAGCCGCTTATAGAACCAATCCAGGATCGTCCTAGGAATTTATCAACCTACACTAACAAACGTATGTAAGTATGTTTTCAATCTTTTTCGTCGAGCAATTCCTGAAACATATACAGAAAAAAAATTAGTACAAAGTAACAATTTATTACGTTCTATTTCTTTACATGTTACACCCATTACATCCAAACAATCAACACTTGAACTTGGGCAGAGATGTATTTTTTTTATAAACGAGGACGCATGCATGGGTGGATAGAAAAATTAGTTGGCCGTGCAATCGTGATGACTTTATGCAATTCTAAAGCCGGCTACACACGATCCGGAAGGCCTGTCAGTTCGAACTGAACGGTCCGCCTGAAAACCCGTCGCCTGATAGACTGACCACTTTTCACACGTTCAGGTGAATAAAACTATCATTCTCAATCATCATCATAGCCTCTACTGACGACGACGCGTTAGCACTTCTCGGCTTAGTAGTTGCTTTGGGTAAAAAGAAATGCAAAAAAAAGTACGGTATGGTGTAAAGATTGATTTGAATTTTCTCCTTCAGCCTCAACAGTCTTAACTGACAGTCCGACAGGAACATATACACGTTCAGGCGGACGGTTCAGTTCGAACTGACAGGCTTGGTGGATCGTGTGTAGCTGGCTTAAGGTATTTTGATACTTTCAATATTTTTTCGCTAATTGGGTTAAATGAATCAAATAATAATTTTTTGTCGATTTTATAAAACCAAGCGTTTGCTCGATAAACCGTATCGGGTTCAGCATTATGCGGCTAAACGAATTTGCATATCCCCACTAGGCGGGCAACGGTGGGGAAAAAGAAGAGCGCAGGTTTGGCACGAGTATACTTCGACCAGAAATATAGTGCTTTTACAACCGGGCCCGTAATTTACTTTGCCCACATATGTTTTATTATCTACCTATCTATATTTACGTTTTCTGTTAAATTTTAGATTCCATCGTTTTTACACTTTATAATTTATGTATTGTACTTTTATAGTGTATGTATATTGTACATTTTGTCATATTGCTTTCACGCATTGAATTTCTCTAATTTTCTATCTTAAGACTCTGTTTATACGATTTATTTCACAAGCACAAGTTGTCAGCGTAAATCGTTCTTTTTTCTTTTGTACTACTGACGCGCCATTTGTTGTAAAGCTTTTTTATGTAAAAAATGGCTAAATAAATCTATCTATCTATCTATTATTATTATTATTATTATTATTATTATTATTACCTGTATTAGAGTTTAAAACAAAATTCATACTTTTCAGAATCTTCCCGTAGCAAGTGGACGTGTCGTGGTGTGGTTTCCATACTTAAACTTTTCTCAAAAATAAAATTAGCAACATCTATGCATTTATTGCTGTATGATAGAAATAGCGAAAAGTATCGAATCCCACGCCGCACTTTCGCCTAAAACGAAGGGACATCGTTTTATAATCACTCCCCCGGTCGCGCTTCCGCCATTCTATTAATCGTTTCTCGTTTTCGGGTAAAATTTAAACGTCACAGGGTCGAACGGGTCCGCAAATTAACTCCACCCCCGAAGAGAGGTAAGACAAGGTAAGGATAATACCCGGGACCGGGTCCTAATCTAGACTGATTGTCTGCCGAAGTTAAGATTGTTCCGTTGATAATTCCACTTTATCTCTTCTCCTGTTAATGAAGTTTCGCTTGTCTGTTTCGCTTTTTTGCGAGTTTCCGTTTTTCCACCGGCCCTTTTACCGATGTTGCTGGCATTTAGACGTCTAATAGGCGCCATAGAAAACCTCGAATCGATAAGATAAAAATGTCATCGTCGCTATCCATTTAACGAAGATAGGGCTATATGTAGTACGGCGAAGGAACAATAATAATAGTTCAAATAAAAAGAATAACCGGCTTTTAAGAGCTCTTCTTCATATCAGTCGTACACATGTAAAAAATTCAGTGTTTATAAATAAGAGGCTAAGATTCTATCATATCTGCGGTAAAGAATGATGACAGAAAAAAAAAAGAGAAGCAAGAAAGAAGAAAGGAAAGAAGAATTGAGTTAGTGATATTCGCGGAGGATTTGGAAAACAACCAGGGTTGCACTATAGAAATACATAGAAAAATCGTAAATCATATTTTTTTCTTTTTCATTTTATGTCATAGAAATATTTACACTAGTTCACAATTGCTCCAATCTCCCTTTCACAAAGCGTATTATAAACAGCAGTATGTGTTCCATTTTTTCGAGCAGTTCTATTGTAAATTGAATCCTTGGGTGAATGGAATTCAGATGATCTAGGAATTTCAAAAGCTCCTCCTTGCCAAAAGGCCATACAACAAATACGTCATCAACGTATCTTGTCCATAGTTTTGGCTTCAGATTTGCCTTCTCTATTGCTTTCTTTTCGAAATAAATCATGAAGAGGTTGGCAATCACAGGTGAGAGAGATGATCCCATTGCTGCTCCATCTATTTGTCGGTAAATTTTCCCGTTGTACATAAAGTAAGCGTTGTCTTGACAGATCTATTATGTAAGGCGGAAGATCTTCGTTTTCTTCTATAAGCAAGAGTGCCTCTTCTACTGGAATGCTCGGGTAGAGGGATTTGACAGCGAAACTTGCCATAATGCCGATTTTTCCCTCGAGTTGTTGCCCAAAATTCTACGGGCTCCCAAAGATCCATAAGGACGCGGTTCCCCTGCGTCCAATCGTAAGCGCCTTTAACTCACCATTATGCAAGCTGGAAAAACATCTGGCTTCATTTCTTCACTTCTTCAGCCCATAGTGGATTCCTATGTTAAAAACTCAGAACATTTCACTCAGAGTTTAGGTTCTCTCAGGATGAACAATATATATATATATATATATATATATATATATATATATATATATATATATATATATATATATATATATATATATATATATATATATATATATATATATATATATATATATGATGACACTATATTCCGGGATATCATCCGTTCGCTCGTTGAACTCCGACTCTAATCCTGCAAATCCTGCATCCGACTGGAATCCTGCAGACGTTTCGCCAAAATCTCACTTGGCATCTTCAATGCTCGCGCTCCGAAAACACTTCGAACCGAAAAATCTTGAAAATAAATTGAAATTCAAGAATGATATTCACCTTCTATTTGAGTAAGATCACGCCAAGTGAACCCCCCCATTTACCACTTGATAATAAAAATTAGAATCAATTAGAAGGTAAATATTCTTGAATTTCAATTTATTTTCAAGATTTTTCGGTAGATTGACGTTATACATTATGAAATTATACAGGTGAAGGATCCTTTTCTTTGATATGTTTAACAAATGGGGTTCAGTCATTTGCTCGCAGAATCACTGCACTGAAGAATTTGATCAGACATCTTAATATTAGCATTACTTTTCAACTTTTCTTTACTTTGACTTTTTCGTAAATAATAGTTTTTTAAAAAATTTTAGCTAGCACATGTTCAGAATATCAAAAAACGAAAATGTTCATTTTTATTGTATGAAAAATTATGAATATTAATAATTAAACTCGTTCTTCAAAAATCCCGATACCACAGACCCTCTTGAATAAATATATAAATGAAACAAAACAAAAATTCGTAATAAAAATTTTGTATTCGTAGATAGATACATTGATGTTGCAAAAAAATGCAAAATATTATTTGCGATTAAAAAACTTTACAATACAATTAATAATTGAACAATGCCATTGATACATTCAGAAAATAGCAACTTGCACAACATACCAATCGAAAATTGCAAATATGTTTTTCAAATTTTCCCAAAAGAAAATTGCGTCTTTTATCTGCAAAAATGGTAAAATAAATGCCTTACATTAGTTCACATTGAACTGGGCTGTGTCGCTATTTTTTGGTTTTTCTTCAAGAAAATGTTGTATTGTTTGCTGGCAGGGTTCCCCTAGTTGTAATTTTCGCCCTTTGGGTTCACCCTTTGAGCTTAATAAATTTTTCCTACTTCTACCAAATGAAATAATCTAACACTTTTGTAAATATATTAAATTAAAATTCTTAACACTAGCTAACAAGAATTTGCTTGGATACGTAATTTATCAAAGCTAAAATCCAAAAGTTGCTGTTCTGTCAAAAAAATATATCTTTCTTTTTTTACTACATACTGGGAAAAAGATGTTAAAATATGGTTAATACAATTTTAGAACAAGCTGTACAAAACAAATTGATGCCATCCCAAGTGAACTCTCGGTAGCCCTTTATCCACGAAATATTAGTGTTTGGCATTGTAACAAACACTGGACAGATAGGCAATAAGTTCTCTATTATTGGAAAAAATGCGTGTTTTGTACAAAACAGACAAAAAACGCAAAAAAAAAATTAATCAATTAAAAATTAAAATTAATCAGACGATTTCGCATCAAAATTAATGCTTCACTAAAGTTTGGGACAATTTCGAAGTTAATTTTAAGTAACGACGTGAAAGAAACAACGAAAAACTGAGAAAAGAGTACACATACGCCCAATAGTACTGACACGAATCTCTATAGAATGTAACAAACATGCCCTATACAACCGGTTTTTCTTTTAACACTCCGTATATACCTAAAAGTTAAATTTAGCTGAAAACCCCTCTAATAAAGATCGTTTGATCGATGATTTAAGCTACAATTGAAAAATTATATGTCCAAATCGTGTCAGCGGTTCGTGGCTCGTATTGTGGCTTAATTTTGATAAGATGCGATGAGTTCGTCATTAGGTTTAGTGTCCCATAGTTCCCCAATTTCCACTAGCAAGAAAAAAAATTGACAAACGTTTCGACGATTGCTCA